GTCTTATTTGGCGAAATTAAATTAATTTTTGTTATAGTGTAGATATGTTTTTATTTCTTATGCCAAAAATGATGCTAAAATGTTGGTTAATTATTTACATTGGGGATTATGAAAGTGTAAATTCTTATCATAACAATCTATAACACCATTGTTACTTTTTTAATCCATTTTAATCCCTAGGAGCTGGATCCCCACGAAGTCGTCGAAAACGACTTAGTTTAATCCGTTACGGTCAATAAATGCGCCTTCGTGGGAATAAACCAATCCATTATATTTAACAACTTTTGGATTACTAATATACTTAGGATGATCATGTATTCCACTTGTTTTCAGACTTTAAACACCTTTAATCCACCAAACCAAGTCCATGAAATTGTGTTCGCAAATGAAAATTTACTCCATTTTAGAAACCTACGGATAAAGATATCACACTTTCAAGTAAAACCATTATAAAAGACACCTGTTGCAGAAAAATGTAACTTTCTGAATTTTCTGGGACTTACTCTTTTTAAAAACATATGCTTCCAAGGCAAAATAAAAAGGTCTTTAATTTCTTCTTTGACATGTGTCATTGGTATTCAGCCAGTGTACAGTGATAACATGGTCATTGAATAAAACTTGAAGCAACGAGTTAACATGCTGGAAATTACATTGAATACAGAAATTACTGGAATGAATGAGGGAATGGTCATGATTGACGACATGACAAGTGTTTTTAAGAGGCAGACGATTGCCAACTTTTTAACCCTATCTGGTTCTTCTGACATCAATCTAGAAACTTTAATCGACATTTCGATTCTCTTCTAATATTTACTGAATTCTAGCAAGGGGTTCTATGAATTGTGGAGATTTGAACGTGTGTGAAATGAAGGTTCTTTCTTTAATTGTCCTTCGCCAACAAACAAATAGCACTTTGAAGTAGAATAGAATATTGATATTTTGTATTAACCTAGAGTGAGTTGAACATGCTGGGAATGAACAATATGTTGAAACATTTATAAACATTATTCCGGATATAGCTTATAGTTCATGTATATCATAGTGTGTATGGCCCAGGCCTATAGTTGATTAATGTTCACGTCGAATTATTGGATGATTATTTTCATTAGTGGTTTATTTTCCTTGTATTATTTTCTCATTGTGATCTACATGATTACCGGAACTCCTAATTAGGATAACTCCATGCAGTATGCTATGCTGTTGTTTATCTACACAGATATAAACCACAAATTCTTTTGGTTGATTTATTTCCTATGTCTTGCTTGCCTCTTATTTTTTTTATTGAACTCCGGGTTATAGTGATTGTGCTGTCATTAGCGGAGATAATTTAAAGTCCTTGAAAATACATGTAATTGATTTTCTAATTTAGAAGCATATTCATATGTTTTGTATTTCTTGCTTGTGTTATTAGAGATTGTGTTGTTATTAGCGGGGCTGGTTTAATTTTTTCTAGAATATATTATTGGATATAACAACCAAGTCCGTGAAAATATTTGTAAATCTAATGTGGGAGAAAACCATGAGGACCAGGGGATAACCCATGAGGTTGGACAGGCAACCCTACTCCTTTCAGGTTCAAGTGTGGGCACGAATTCAACTCCACTTAGCCCAATGACAAACCATTCGACCCCACCACTGCACCACCCCTAATTTATAATAAACTTATGGTTATCCCACCATATTAAGGATATACTAAGTCCCATGGGATTTATGCACTATGTGAGTGTGGAGTCGGCTTAGATATTTTAGGATCCCAACGCAAAGCAAGCAATAAGCTTTTTCTAAGATTACAACATGCTGTGTGGTATAACATGTCATCAAAATAGCTCCCGCAGAATTCATATGCTACAATTGATTTTTCTGTTGTTTTGGTTTGATTTGGGACCAAGCTATCCAAAACTGTTGGGGTTAAAATTTCCCGACACCTTGACCCCTCTGAGAAGGGCCTTTTCGTAATCGGAACTCATCTGACAGAGTGCATGACTATCGGCGCCAATAACGCTCGGATTTTCATGATCTGAAGTTTGTTCTGTTTTTCTTTTTATCATGCTGACTCCATCTATGATACTCTTTATGCAACCAGAAGTAGATTTCATTGTCTTCCGGTGGAAAACACCAATTTCCGGTGTCGCTGAACGTCAAACATCACATTTCAGCTTAAAGAGATCTATCGCGCAGTACCACATTTTGTTGGTTCTCATGGTGCATGGTAAAATGTTTCATACAGTTCAAAACAAATTTGACATTGGTTGTTACAAACAAGTAAACAAGTTTTATATCAAAAACAAAAAGAAATCATACAAGCGAGAAGTCACCAGGAACAAAAATAACAAAATTTCTCTTGGAAATGAATACAACGCATTTCACTATACCAGTTATTCATCATCCTCGCCCTCCTGCACATCCCTGATCACACGGGTACAGTCCTTGCAGAGATATGTACAATGCACTCCATTTTTGTGGCAACTGCACCACCCCGTGCAGCCTGTTATACAACCACATTTTGTTAGTTCAATTACAGAACGTGGGACAGGCAGAGTAAGTTTCCGCCTCTTTGTCCAACTGCCAGTCATTTTGTTCTGTGGCAGAAAGGTTCGTGGATCTGGTAACGTACGACTTGTTTCGCATGGTAGTGTAATTTCCTCTTGTGATATGGGACAATAATGCAGTACGGGTCGGGGCAGCACTTCTCCTTCCAAGTCTTTTGATCTGAACAATTACCATCTCACTCTTGGTAGAGGTAATGGACCATGTAGAGTAGATCTGTCCAATTCCTTGACACGTGGAGACAAGTGAACATTCACAAGCCCAGTGTGATGACGCCTTCGCCAAGCTCCCTAGAACAGATGATAACAGAGTCATCTCCATGAAACTTCATGTATGCACGAACCCATGTTTTCTTTGTGATGCCCACAGTACCAGAGAAGTTGTGGATTCCAATTAGACCTGAACACTTGCGACTTCCAAAGACACGTAATCGCTCGATCACATCTATTTCTCTATATTTTGCGACCTTCTCAGTTACAAACTTGAGGTGAGTGCGAATTCCGAGACGACCTAGAGATACAAGGTGTGAGTACATCGTAGTGACCAGCAAGTGTTTTGATAGGGACTGTATCAATGTAAACGGGGATATGCAGGAGGACGAGGATGATGAATAGCTGATATATTAGACTGAGTTTTATTTATTTTCAAGATAGGAACTTTGATGGTTTCGTTTCTGTCGACTTCTGGCTTGTTAAGATTCTTTTTGTTTTTGTCTTGAATCTCACAACAGAACATTCTAATCACCTAAAAATGACTGTATGAAACATTTTACCATGCTCCAGAAGCCACAAAAAGAGGTACTGCGTGATAGATTTCTCTAAACTGAAATCGATCCCAGTTTGACAATGAACTCTCAATAACATAGAGGGGCAATGAAAACTGTACAACATTAATAAAAAAAACCCCTTATATTTATTGTCTAATTTGCCTTGAATCTCAGATTATTGTCCAGTTTGCCATAAATCTCAGATTATTGTTCAGTTTGCCTTAAATCTCAGATTATTGTCCAGTTTACCTTAAATCTCAGATTAGCTATTGCCTAGTTTGTAAATAAAGAAGAAATAATGTTTAGTTAAATGTAACTTTATTCGGATATATGATCATAAACCAATTCATTAAAAAAAATGAAAATCAGGTGAACGTGTCTCGTGCATATATATATCTATATATATTTTCCATATAACAAATGACTATAAGCCTATAATACTGATGCATAATATTTATAATGTTTCACTGGTCTTATTATATTTATTAAAAGTACACGAATTGTGCTTTTATTTGAAATAACAACATCTATATATATATATCTCTCTCTCTGTACAAAACAATGATTGCTGACATAAACATGGCTAAGAACAGAAAAATGGCCGCCGTGTGCAAAGTGATTCAAGTTATAAAATATTTCATAGGAAAACAAAAACAAAACAACAACAGGCAAAATATCTGTACGTAACAGAAGAAAACTTTCGGATACATGGTTGGTGGTAATAATTCCAACGATTTTCGAATTCTGCTTCATAATTAAAGGTGTGACACACGGACAAACGAACTAGACGATCGAAAGGTGGAACCCAGACCGAAAATCCGACACCAAATAACCTCTTTACAGGGGTGCAATTGTAAGGGAAGATATGGGAGTAGAAATGTGGCAGTTGCTTTAATGAAGAACACTTCGGCAGCAATATCTAGATATTGATACCCCGTTTTTTATTCTATTATAACTTATAACATAGTACATACACTAGTTGATACTCATGTATCAATACATGTATCAATTTATAGTAACTGAATATAAATACATGTAAGTAAAAATAACATATATTTTAAGGACTGCAAATATATAGTTACAGATACAATAATAAATGTTAAAATACAGAAGTTTCAAACGCATACATTAACCATATAAAGTAAGAAACAGGGTGAAAAAACTCGTATTTCATAAAAGGTGAAAAAAGTTATTAATAATATCAAAATTACTCATTTCCTGTACTTAAATGAACACAATTATGAAAAAATAATATTATTAACATATAACAAGAGCTTATCAACCTAATATCTATATACAAACTGGAGTGTGTATAAATAAACATGAATTTCAACCAATGCACAAAGTTCGGCTGGAAATTCATCATGCATGTAATCATTTCTTTAATCTCCGGTCAACGAAATTCAGATTTGATATATTGCAACCCCAGGAGTAGTCTACTCCGTTTTCGTTTTGACATCTATAGATTGTGAGTATTTTTTAAGATTGACCACTTTGTAATAATGAAGACAACTATCAGAATTCCAGTTTTCCCCAAGTTTCAACAGGATTAAAGGATCAGTGAATTGAGTCAAAAAAGTGCACTGCCCAAAAACATTTCTTAAAGAAATTAAACATAAATTTTGCCCCCCCCCCCATTCCCGCCCCCCCCCACCAATCCACCTTACCTCCCCCACCCCTCCGAATATTCATATTTTAAACAAAGTGACTGAAACTCAAAAATATCTCATACAGCCTCTATAGTGGCAGAACATTGTTGTAATTCTGTCATGGCGATAGATTGTCCTTCTTGCGGAAGAAGACTGTCAGATTCATGAAACCCTCCTTTACAAAATAAAACCTTGTTAACATACTGACGGAACTTCTTGTCAAGAATGAAGAAGACGATGGGATTGACAGCTGAATTAGCAAACATCAGACAGAAGCCAAAGATTTTAAAAACGTGCCAGAAATGATCAAAGACACCCGGGTCAAAATGAAACCATAATAAATAAACATGTCTTGGTAACCAGCATAGAACAAATGCCCAGACCAAACCCAATACACTTATAGCCAATCGCTTCCTTTTGTCTTGTGATGATTCTCTATCTTGTTTCCCATTTCCAGAATTATTGGAATCTGGTCGTAATGGGGTTTTCATTGAAGGGTATTTGGAAGCAACGGACTTAAAGTATATTGTGTAAGCGATTGCTAAATACAAAGGTGAAATAATACACAGTGGTATAACAAACAATAACAGAAAACGCATCATGGTGTTAACTTTTGGGTATACGGGACCCCATGATGGCGCAAATGTGTAGCAATATTCCCATTCTCTGCCACTATGACTTTCTGTAACGGTTGAGGCTGATATCAGATCGGGTAGCGAAATGTAGAAGGACAGCGTCCATATCAAGACAACAATGGCGATTGCAAACATTCTTTTGTCCGATGATCTTTTCCCGGAAATGATCAAAAACCGTTCAATACTTAGCACTGTGATGGTCGCTATAGTGACTGCAGTGGCAAGAGTCTCCACAAAAAAGCTCATCTTGCAAATGACTTCTCCATACGGCCAATACGGTATGGTGTACCATGTTGAATTAAATGGTAGTGATACCATCAACATCATCAGGTCACCCACTGCCAAGTTAATGACGAATATATTATGAGCAGCAGTAAGCTTTTTGTGCTTTACAAATGAACAAATAAGAAAAATGTTACCAACAATACCAAAGAAAAATATGACAGAGAAAACCAATGGCACTAGTACAGCTTCCGGTGTTAAATCGTCACTAAGCGCCACTTTTTCGTATTTTCTTGTACAGTTGTCTAAATCTGACGTCGATTTATTGCAGAATTCTTCTACCAACTCTTCCATTGTGGTAATTTGTTTTTTTACTATATCGTATTGTGTTCTGGTTTAGTCGTTAGTTCTGTAAAAGAAATACCCAGTAAATTAAAATAAAGAGGCAAATAAGTTCTGTAAAAGAAATACCTAGTGAATTAAAATAAAGAGGCAAATAAAATATAGAAATAAAGAAAGAAAAAAAAAAGACAAATATACAGTGCCGGATTTAGATAAAGCGAGGGTATGGGGTATATTATCCCCCCCCCCCCCCGCTTTCACGAATATAGTGAGATGAAAGTGTATTAAACGCAATTGGGCTAAACAGAGGATGATGACGGATGTTTAAGACTAAAGTGCGTAGAAAGGCTTATTTCACTTTTAGTAATACTATAAACCTTGACCGGAGGTCCACTAGAATTTTGAGACCCTAGTCTTCAGTCTGTCAAACCTATATGCAAATCCCGACACTGCAAAGATATAAATATATACAAAACAAAACATAGTGATTAATGATAAAGCGTGGATTATATATATTTTAATCGAAAAAAATATTCAGACGGATATAATATTAAATTTAAAGAAATGATTATCAAAATAAGGGATGTAGAAACTGTTCACGCTTGAAATGACGAAATCTTAAATTTATGTAGAATACGAAATAAGTTTTAAAATCACACAGCTAAATCCACTCGAAGTGAAGAAAAACGAGACAAAAGATATAAAAAATAAGAACCTAAACACAAAACACATTTGAGACACAAACTAACATAAATAGAATAATATAAGAGACTAAAAAATATATTTTTATTCTAAGAATATTTCAAGACAATAATAGTTTTAAAATTGCTTTCATATGCTATATGTTATTACGTAAAACAGAAAAGATAAATGGCATTACATATTTACACAAACGATAATGGCAGAACGCGAAACTTTGTAGATGACAAGTTAAGAACTGTTTTTAAAAGACAGAAGTTAAAAGCAGGTAAACGAAGAATACTTACTGTTTTTTAAGTACAGGAAGCCTGCGTTTAGGAATAATACAGCGATGTGTCCATCAAAACTTTGTCATTACTTACTTCATATACTCATTCCTTACTTCTCTCCATCCGGGAATTGACAACTCGTGTCACGCTCAGCCAACTGGGCACGCGCTTCGTCCCGAGTCGCGGCCAAGGGCCTCATATAATCAAGAAAAATCGTTTGTTCCTACAATCACTTATCTGATAGAATCTCTCTTCTGATTTGCACACGGTTTCTTTCTACGGTAACTACCTTATTTATTTGGCTAGGTTTTAAGTTAATAGCCAGAAACAGAGCCGACAATGTCTCTACAGAGAGGTATAATAAAGACACAATAGTCCGCGTTCCATTGCTTTTAGACAAACAAGCTTTAAGCGAAATGTCTTCTCTGCTATATTAAACTAATAGATTAGAATAGATAGATAGTATTGTTTATAAAGAGGTGCCATTATTTTGTTATATGAATTAATCTCCTTAAGCTGAAATTGATTAACGGTAATTCGTAAAAGCAAAAAACACTAAACGGAAAATTGATAAGCCTGTGGCACTCTAATCGACGATTCATACGCAGCATTGTTTATTTATACGTTCCTTTATTGTTTATCTGTACTTTCCTTCGAGCATGGTTCGGTCATCTATTCATCCCCTCCGTAACCCATTAGTATTTCTAGTATATTTCCAACATCGCTATCGAGATGCATACTGTTGTCGCACGTTGCACGTTTATACTTCCTCGCATCCATACATTGTCTTAAGGGTATTATTCTATATTCGAGCTGCTACTTTTAAACTGCACACAGTAATATTAGCATCGCTTCAAATATAATGTTTTTGGTATACCGGTAATTTAAAAGATAAAGTTGATAAATCGTTACAACTAATGATGCATTAGAAACAGCGTGAGTTTATTTACTAGAAACTTTCTTTAAGATATCAGTATTCTTTATTTATTTTTGGGCTCAAAATGGACCCCAATACATTTTTAATTGTGGAATAGTTTTATCGACATAATTGAAAGATAACGTAGATAAATCTTTAGTATAAGTTTATCTAATGGGGATTTATTGACCGAAGATTGAATATATTTTCTAATCGATGGTAATTTAGAATTAATTTTTAATTTATGGTATAGTTTTATCCATTTGATTTAAAAGATAAAGTTGAAAAACCGTTACAACTAATGATGCAGTAACAACAGCACGAGTTTATTTACTAAAGACTTTCTTTAAGATACTAGTTCTTACTTCTATTTGGGCTTAAAATGGACTCCAATACATTTTTAATTGTGGAATAGTTTTATCGACATAATTATAAAGATATCGTAGATAAATCGTTAGAACTACAGACATAGTATGAGTTTATCTACTGGGGACTTTCTTTAAGATATAGTACTCTTATTTTATTTGAGCCCACAAAGGATAACAATAATACAGAACCAATGCATAGTTAAATATTTCCTTGGTAATCAATTGAGTGATGTTTTGGGGGGTTTTATTTCGTGGATGCTTGCAGTTTTCTGTTAAAATCTATGGAAATATATGTGAAACTGGAATTATCATCTTCAAATAGGTACATATGGAATAAACTTGGAGCAGGTCATACATATTGAAGTTAAGTAGCAACTAACTCACAAGTATGATGGACAGCAGCTATGTTATAATTAACAATAAGTCTCATTCCAAAGAGTGGACACCAGCTGAGCATATAAGTCTCTTGTCTGGAATAGTCTTTTTAGGCCCATTGGAATAAATTTGGTGTGAACTATATTTTAAATTTAAAAAAAAAAGAATTAATAGTACCAAAGAGGCCCACTTCTGCTAACTATACCAAATCGAAAATATAATTGTATACAAATTGCCACAATTGAAATAACTGCCAAAATCAAACCAAATGAACAGCTGCTCAAACTGTTATTCCTAGTTCGCGGTACACGAATTATAAACAAGGTATAATTAAAATGTATAAAGCAAATTAAAACTGACAGCTTCCATTGTTTTTGAATCAACTGATGCCATTGTGGGTTAACTCTGTTATTATCTAATTCCCAGTACATATTAAGTATATAAATATTGTAGATGTGTGCCTTAAAGCTTTTCAGTTTACTCGCAGGTGTCGTTTCAGACGAACCCGATTCTCGGTATCGGTTGCACAGCTTCATTTCACATCTGACTTTTAAAGTTTTTAGGCAAATATTTTGAATTTCTGTTTGATATTTCGATGCATCTAGTAATAAATACTTCCGTTGACACTCATAAGAGAATATGTGCAAAGCAAAAAATTGTTATTAATGCTAAAAAGTAATTTTCACACACACATATATATATATATATATATATATATATATATATATATATATATATATATATATATATATATATATATATATATATAACATTTGAAGCTAGCAGGATTATGTCGTTTGCTAGCTTCAAATGTTATATAAATTATTATTTAGACATTTATTCACACGGCAAACCCATAATAACTTTCTAGCCCATCGGATAGCTCAGATAATGAATGGATTAGAACCCTCTCGCCATTTAATAATTTAATGCAAGATACGTCCACATTTTGCAAGAGGTGGACAGAGAACAAGCTAAAAAAAAAAACGATTTTTCGTACAATCAAGGGCCATAATTCAGGAAGTGACGATCCGATATGTGTAAATATTGAAAGGAACCAAGATCTTTGGGTTATAAGCAAGTATTTCAAGTTTCATCAAAATCGGATCATAATTCTGTCGTCTAGAGGGTCCACAACCTTGATATACCATATATTTACAATTGTGACCTCTAGAGGGCCCACAAGCTAAATACGCTTGGGTTATAAACGTGCATTTCATGTTTCATCAAAATCAGATAAAAATTGTGATCCGATACATGGCAATATCGATAAACCTATATTTCAAGTTTCGTCAAAATCGGATAAGCATTGTGACCTGTAGAGTGTCCACAAACAAATTGTTGACGGACGGACGGACGTCTGGACGGACAGGGGCGACGACAATATACGTCAACATGAAAATGTTGGCGTATATAATAAAATGAATAGTTGGATACCTGAGACTTTATGTATTATCGTAGCAACGTTACTTGATAATCGAGGTTATTTACGCTATATCTTGTTAAAATGATGAAATTTTCCATATTTATTTATTTCCCATTATCTATTTTTGAACTATTATCTAAATCTTTCACGTATTTAGTAAGTAAGTAATGATATGATAATTGGCTTCCTCATTTATTTCATAAGGATACATTATGGGAGATTCGATGACGAATTGACAGCTCTCACTATAATAGTTAAAAACTAGATAATGTAAACGCAATTTGCTGAAAATTTCATTCAAATTGATCCACTATGAACCGAGAACTAAGCGATTGGAATTTCCGCCTATAGCCTCGATCACCATTACTAAAGTCAGTACGATAAACAGCATAGTCTCGATTATCCATTTAATCGTTAAATCGTGAAGGAAAGTTATGCAGTAAATCGGCTCATAATCCACTAAAGATGCCACCTAGAGTTGATTATGGTCTGGATAGGTTAATTAATATCTAATTAATAATTTAGATAACATTTCAGGCCTAAAGAAAGACCTGCAATAGACAGATTTAGCTCTTGCATAATGTATGTTTAAGGAGTTTTGAATTTATTTCTATTTCGGTAAAACAAAACTATTTTATATTAGCAGTTGATATTTGATCTTTCAGATATATTTAGCTAATGGTTGTTTCGTCTTGATGTTTAATTTTGGGATAGAAAAAAAGAAAATTGCCATCAATATTGCCGTTTTATTTTGGAACAAGTATGATAATGTATATATATATATATCAGCGGATATGGAAAGAATATACTTAAATGCATATCATATTTAAAGATTTGATCGACTGTTATCTATTTAAATTATAGTTTACAAAATCAATTATTAGACATTTCACTTTCGATATCTGGCAGTTGTGTTTTCTGATGTTGTCGGATATTTCATTGAATCGGGTCAAAGAATGATCGCATTGAGTGTAACACTTACACAGAGAGATATTGACAGTTTAACCAAGTTAATGTCATAGCATATAACAGGCAAAGATCCAAACGGAAATTAGTGTTTGCTCCAAATATAATCCTTTCATTTAGTCTCCCCCTTCCTAACAAAAGACTCCCCATGACAAATACAACGAACATTGTGGACATCATCGATTTACAGCTGTGTAAGGCTTAAAAGCAAATCAATTTACACTTCGCTAGTCCTGTACATCATAATATGTTAAACTTATAGCAGTATCCCCTATGAATTAAATGTTTATAAAAACATACACTTCCAACTAACCAACAGTATTAGAATTCTGATTGAGCTCATGCGTGCAACTCATTAAAAAAGATTTAGAGTGGTCATGAGATAAATGCTTACGAGAGAGAGAGAGAGGGGGGGGGGAGGGGAGAGTGGGAGGGTAACGTCCACTCGATACAAACTAGGTCATTTCGATACTAACATATGGTTCAATTTTATTTCAATAAATCGCTTGCGCGTGGAGGTCTTTAGCTGTGGGAGGAAACCGGAGGACCCGGAGAAAATCCACGAGGTTGGACAGGCGACCCTACTCCTCTCCTTGTCACGTATAACCGGGGAATCGAAACCACGCCATTTGATTCAATGACAGACCTTATGATACAGCGCGCATGTTCTAATACATATTTATGTTAAGTTTTAGTCATGTAACTGATGACCCCACAAAAATCCCCATTTTTAGGGCGTAGTCGTACAGACTTTAGAGCGATCTGACTTGGGGAAAGCCCCCAAACTTTTGGTTAGATTTTTGAAAATTATATTTTCCAAGTATAGACCTTTGTCTCTGTAAGTTTCAGTCATGTAACTGCTGACCATATTATTAGCCCCAGTTTTAGGGCGTGGTCTGGCAGACTTTGTGGCGATCTGACTTGGGAAAAGCCCCCAAATATTTGGTTAGATTTTTGAAAATTATATTTTCCAAGTATGGATTTTTGTTTCTGTGAACTTTAAGCCATGTAACTGATGACCATATTATTAGCCCGTGAGTAGATATTGAGTGTGGTCTGACTTGGGGAAAGCCCCATAAATTTTGGTTAGATTTGTAAAATATTTACTCTAGCTATGGATACTTTGGCTTCTAGCAAGTTTCAGCCATGTAACTTA